CGACTCTGCGACCCCATGAACCGCAACACGCCAGGCCTCCCTGTCCATCACCAACTCCCGGAGTCCACCCAAACCCATGTTCGTTGAGTTGGTGATGCCATCCAACCATCTCATCCTCTGTTGTCCCCTTTTCCTCCTGCCCTCAGTCTTTCCCAGAATCAGGGTCTTTTTAAATGAGTCAGCTCTTCACATCAGGTGGCCAAAGTATTGGAGTTTCAGCTTCAACATCAGTCCTTCCAATGAACGCCCAGGACTGATCTCCTTGCAGTCCAAGGGACTCTCAAGTGTCTTCTCCAATACTACAGTTCAAAAGAATCAATTCTTCAGCACTCAGTTTTCTTTATAGTCCAACTCTCACATCCATACATGACCACTGGAAAAACCACAGCCTTGACCACAAGCAGTATAAGAGGGTTAAAATGTCTTCACATTCTCATCAACACTTTTTATTGTCCATCTTTTTGATTAGTGCCATCCTAATGGGTGTGAATTGGTATCTCTCATGATTTTGCATTTCTCTGCTGGCTACTGATGTTGAGCATTTTGTCATGTATTACCAGCCATTTGTGTATCTTCTTTGAAAAAAATGTCAATTCAGATCTTTTGGCCACTTTTAATTTGGGCTATAGATGATTTACAAAAATTCTTGATATACTCTGGGTACTTTATCAGGTATATGATTTTCAAATATTTTGCCCCATCCTGTGGATCATCTTTTCACTTTCTTAAGACTGTCATTTGACATGTTTTTAATTTTGATGAGGTCCAATTTTTCAGTTTTTCACTGGTTGCTCATGCATTTGATATCAAATCTAAAAAACTACTGCCCAGTTCAAGATCACAAAGATGTAATCATTTCCTTCTAAGAGATGTATGGTTTAGTCGCTAAGTTGTGTCCAACTCTTTTGACTTCACAGACTGTAGCCTGCCGGGCTCCTCTGTCCATGGAATTCTCCAGGGAGAAATACTAGAATGGGTTGCCATTTCCTTCTTCAGGGGATTTTCCCAACCGAGGAACTGAACCCGGGTCTCCTGCACTGCAGGCAGATTCTTTACCAACTGAGCTATGAGGGAAGCCCAAGAGATGTATAGTTGTAGCTTTCATGTTTATGTCTTTAATCGATTTTGAGTTATTTTTTGTATACAGTATGAAGTGGGGATCTAAACTGATTCTTCTGCATGTGAAAGTCCAGTTCTTCCAGCATCATTTGTTGAAGACTATCCTCCCACAGTGAACTGCCTTGCTACCTTTGTCAAAAATTTACCAGAGTTGTATAAGTTTACTTCTCAACTCTCAATTCCCTCTCATTGACCATACATCTATCCTCCATGTGTCTTTGATTGCATCTACCTAGCACAGAACCTGAAATATGGAAGCATGCAATAAAGACTTAGTAGGTGAATAAATAGCCTTTTGTCAACAATAAATTAAAGTGTGAGCTGAGCAATACCTTAAGGAGCATTATCCTATCCCAATATTTAAAAAGCAAGAAACTGAGACCTAAGAGAGGCTACCTGGTGAGATCAAAGGAGAAAAAAATTACTTAAGAGGCAGAGGCAGAATTCAGTTTTCCTAACTTTTGGTGCAGGGTTCTTTCCATAATACCATGGAAAGTGGCTTCTCAACTAAACTAAACTGCCTAAATATATGCCAATGTGTCAGCCTATAAAAACCAGCATATATTAGAGACAGAGATAAGCATGTATCCTAATACTTAATCATAGGGGAATGCTTCATAAGCATAATTCACCAAAAAGCCTTACAATCAAAATGGGGCAGGAAATAATTAATATACCACTGAATGCAGTGTTTCCCTCTAGACGACTGTCCTCTATTTCACTCTCAGCTCAAGAACATAGCTAATCACACTTTTAGTCCTTAAGATTATTTTGGGCAGAAGAAAACCATTTGTGTGACAGTAAAAATTATAAAGCAATCAGGTGCCTAGTTCCATTACCCTGCTCTCTTTACCATTTCCCACCTTCACTGTGATGCTTCATTCACTACTATGTGCTGTAAAGAATGCAGAAATAGAGCGATCATCATAAATTTAACTTTCCTTTACTATCCAGAAATTAGTCTGCCTCTTTTCAAAAACCAGAGAAATTTTAAAGCTGTAGAACAGAAAAATAAAGGGAAACAAAGAAACAACGTAGGAGAAGCCTTCTGAAACATATATGCGGGGCTGTAGATGTGAGGGAAAGGAAAAACACTAAGTGTTCAAGCCTAATACTACAGTTACATGCACAAGGAAGGAAAATGCATCTGTGCAAATGCTGTGTATGCATATGTATAAGCAGACCATGAATTTTCTTGTAGTCAATAATATATTCAGCCCTCACTTTAAACTACAGCGTCTTCTCAGATCACCCAAGCACAGTTAACCTGACCTTTCATGGTATGCCCACTCTTTGTCCTACAGGTCTCCATCACTGTAATGACTACAGTGTATCTTAATAGTTACCTCACATGTTTGTCTCCTTTCAAACTACCATTGTGACAGTCTTCGAGGAGAGTCGCTGCGGTTTCCTGCTTCAACAGTGCTTGAACGGAACCCCGCGGCTCGTCCCCCCGCAGCACCGGCAGGCTACTCAGAGCCAGCCCTCGTCACCACTTGACAACACCCTCCGACCGGCCCAAGGTCCCCGCCGCCGCTCCAGCGCAGCGCAGCCGTCGCCGTCGCCGCCACCGCCCCTTATCCGCCGGCCATGACGACCGCATCCCCCTCGCAGGTGCGCCAGAACTACCACCAGGACTCGGAGGCCGCCATCAACCGCCAGATCAACCTGGAGCTCTACGCCTCCTATGTGTACCTGTCCATGTCCTACTATTTTGACCGCGATGATGTGGCTTTGAAGAACTTTGCCAAGTACTTTCTTCACCAATCTCATGAGGAGAGGGAACATGCTGGGAGACTAATGAAGCTGCAGAACCAGCGAGGCGGCCGAATCTTCCCTCAGGATATCAAGAAATCAGACCGTGATGACTGGGACAATGGGCTGAATGCAATGGAGTGTGCGCTGTGCTTGGAAAGAAGTGTGAATCAATCACTACTGGAACTGCACAAACTGGCCACTGAAAAAAACGATCCCCATCTGTGTGATTTCATTGAGACTCATTACCTGAATGAGCAGGTGGAAGCCATCAAAGAATTGGGTGACCACGTAACCGACCTGCGAAAGATGGGGGCCCCTGGGTCTGGCACGGCAGAGGACCTCTTTGACAAGCACACCCTGGGACACAGTGAGCACCAAGCCTCAGGCTGGCTTCCCACAGCCACGGGTGACTCCTGGTCACCAAGGCAGTGCATGCATATTTGGGCTACCTTCACCTTTTCTATAAGTTGTAACAACACATCTACTTAAGTTCTTTCTTTAGTACCATTCCTTTAAATAAAGTAATTTGGTACCCCTCCCCCCCCAAAAAACCTATCATTGCACTGAGGGTTGAAACCATGTGTTTTTCATGTTGTGTTCAGTATAGAATTTAGCACTTTATAATTCTTTGTTGAATGAACATTTTCAAAATGTTTTGTAATCCTGAATATACCTGTTCAAAAGCATCAATAACAAGAAATTTATTCATTCTTGTTGTGATAATTCCCAAACATTACAGTTCACACATATACATCACACATATATACAGTTCTCATATACACTTCCCTATACAAACTTCACAGCTGGTCAATCTGCTAGAAAACAAACCTAACTCAATGTCTACTGCTGGATGTTGTAGTTGCTGGCCATCTCTACTAATAAAGCATTTTATACTCCTAGCAAGAAACACACAAAAAGTTCAAGACTCATCCACTGCAAGCAGCATGATCTAGTATGGTGACATAGAGAAGAGATGGGGAACCATCTCTATAGAAGCATGTAAAGGAATTCTTGAGGGCAAGATATCTTATATTCACCAAAAGGAACTACAGATTAAGAACCAAGATAAAATGATCGTCAAATTCTGGTGTGCTGGTACACGTGAAAGGTTTGGAGTATGAGAGCCCTAAGATGTGAGGCTAAGACGGGCCTCCACTGTGACCTCTTTAGGAAGGGAGGTGGCTTCACTTCTCTGTGCCTCTTTCAGTACCTCTACTATAAAAAGTGTGTAAGAATGCCTATCTCACAAGCACAGATACTCAGACACTAGCATGTCTGAGATCTGTTACAGTGTCCATTCCATTCCTACCTGGTAACAGGCTGTGACTCAAGAAGCAGAGTCAAAAAACTCTCTTTACTAAAAATACTTGTCCCAATAGATGTCAATGTTTCTAGTTTCATCATAAGGAAATTCTGTTTGGATTTTCAAAAGCCTCATTTAAACATAAAATAATCTGCTATTCAATCTTTCAAAGATAACCTGTCAAAAAATAAATGGAAAGAAAATAGAAACAACAGAAACAAAGACAGCCTGTCAAGGCCCTGTGGAGGATAACTCCTTCAACCAAAGGAGGAGGCTGAAGCAATAAGGAAATAGCAGTGAAAGGGGCCTAGAAACAAACCTTCTCTACTTTATAATTGCACAGTCAGCCTCATCTAACTATATACCACCACATACACTCACAGAAAATTCATAAATTCATCAGTAAACCAGTATGCCAAATCAAGGGTATACTATTAAGAGGTGAAATTTCTGTTTTTAAAGCAAAAAAGATAAGCCCCAAACCACAATTTAATGATATATTTTTAACCACTACTACCACAGAAAAAGATGAACTCTGGGATAAATATTTCTTCTATGTTCCCTCAAACTGTTGACTATGTGTTGAGTCACAGAGTGCATTTTGATAAAATCATACAATATGGCATGATAGCTATGTTATATAAAGTATTAATAAACTTTGTATTTAAAAAAATAAACCTTAAAACCATTCCATTCTTTACAGACCTGACCAAGACAATGCAATGTCCCAACTTAGACTTCAAATTTATTCCTTTTATTAAGGTGCGACCACTGCCACTTTTTTTTTTTCCAATTTCAGCCCAAATTCTCAGTCACTCACCCGCCCGCCATCTTATGAATCCTGTGCTTCCTCTCCGCCTGTGGGTTCCACCAAAGGGGACTCTATAAAGTAAATGTGGAGACAATTATTGCCAAAAGTGAAAGATTGAGAGATTCTTAATAGTTCTAGAAAGGCTAATAAGCCCTTGATTCATTAACTTAGAGAGGAGAAAGTAAATCCCACAAGCTAGAGGATAGGAATAGATTATAGCCCCTCTAAACTGTCAAAATATGTCAAAGATTCAAAATGTTTGAAACAGAACTTTTGAAAATCCGGCAAAACAAATTTAGTGGTATCCATGGCTAATTCATTTCAATGTCTAACAAAAACTACTGTAATGATGTAAAGTAATTAGCCTCCAACTAATAAAAATAAATGGAAAAAAAAAAAGATAAAAATGATACTTCTGCCTTCCTGGGCTCACACAAAAATTCATCCTTATCAATGAAATCAGAGAAAAGAAACATAAAAGATTTGAATAAAAACAATTAAGAGCTGCATTTAAAGGTCATACACATATAAAGAATATTAAAGGTTCTCTTTTCTTCTACTCTAGGCATTTTATGCTACATCTATAAACCTGACATTTGCACCCATGTTCTCCTTGCCTCTTGATAGAGTGAAATAAAGCACCTCTCATCAGCAAGCCTGCAATCCTGCCCTTCTTCCTACATTTCTCTTTGTGATTAACACTATCACATATTCTCCATCAATGAAAAGCAAAATTGCCAATTCATTTCTAGTTTTCCTCCATTACATAATATGTCAAATAAGGCAAAATCAAAACGATACTGATGACAATAGAATAAACAGACACATCACTTTTTATGCTAGAAGCACAATGCTAAATGCTTTCCATTAATTATTTAATTTTCAAAACCACTGCATAAGATAGTACTATGGACTATTTGTGCCCCCTCCCCAAATTTGTTGAAAACCTAACCCCAAATGTGGTGGGGTCTTTAGGAATAAATTGGGTTTAGATAGGGTCGCAAGGGTGGAGACCTCATGAAGGAATTAGTTCCCTTATAACAGACATCAGAGAGTTTGTCCTGTCTCTTTCCACTAGGTGAGACACAAGGAGAAGGTAGGTATTGCCTGCAGGCCAGGAACAGTTCTCACCAGAACACAAAAATGCTGACACTATGCTCTTATACTTCATAGCCTCCAGAACTGTGAGAAATAGATTTCTGTCATTGAGGCTGCCCAGTCTATGATATTTTGTCATGGCAGCCCAAGCCAATTTCCCATTTTACTTTGCAACCCCATGGACCATACAGTCCACAGGATTATCCAGGCCAAAATACTGGAGTGGGTAGCCATTCCCTTCTCCAGGGGATCTTCCCAACCCAGAGATCGACCCAGGTCTTCCACATTGCAGGTGGATTCTTTACCAGCTGAGCCACAAGCGAAGTCTAAGAATAGTGGAGCGCATAGCCTATCCCTTCTCCAGCAGATCTTCCCAACCCAAGAATTAAATTGGGGTCTCCTGCATTGCAGGTGGATTCTTTACCAACTGAGCTATCGGGGAAGCCTAAGTTGAGAAAACTATGGCTTAAATAGGCTAAATAACTTCTCTACAGAGGACCCAGGCTACAGTGATAGAACCAGGATTTAAATTGGGCTTTTAACTAACACTGTTCCTCTGATATCTCCATAATACTAAATTCATAATATCTATCATCAAATATGTTATGAGCAAGAAATCAAAATAAGTTGCCCTAAAAAACTCATACATCTAATCATATATTATAACACATGGACTGCCAAAAGTATGAATTCCTCCAGGTTTGGTACCCAAGAAATGTTTACTGAAACAAACAACAATAATACACTGTAATAAGTGTTAGATGAATAAAGTCAAATAAAGTAACACAAAGGTTTCCAGAAGGCAACAATTTCAAGGGTGAGTAAGATAACTGCTATGAGACAGTACGAAAAAAAGTCGTAAATAAGTGAAATGCAGTCAGAACAGCATACAATTAATACATTTCAAGGGAATTTTTCAGGGATTACTAGTACACATTACATATAAGCTGTCTCTCCAAAGATGAATAGAATCTCACTTTTGAAATAAAAGACCGTTGTAAGTTGAATGAACTAGATGGACAGAAAAATGGAGTTTGAAAATATAGCTTGTGCTGTTCCTTTTCAATTCCATATTCAACACTGTAGTTTACAGTATAAAATATCCTAACAGATGCCCCTGTCTCTCATCGCTTCCTTTTTCAAACCACTCTACAGAAAGTATATAAGTAATCACCCTAAAACACATATCAGATTGGCTCCTTGTTCAAAAACATTCGATAGTCCTACTCTGCCTACAAGATACTATTTAAATTCCTCAGACTAGAATATTAGGCCTCTCACAATCTGTCCCTGTTTTTTTTACTTCCCCTCCCAATTCACCTTGAGTCATGATTCCTCTACACTGAAGCTATACTTGATTATCTGCTGCTCCTGAACAGGCCCTATTAAAAGGTCTCCATCTGGACTGTGGCGCATCTTAAGACCCATGTAAAAGAACTTCTCTGGAAGTATAACCTTGCCTATTGTCTCATTTATTACCCTCTGTCATATGTCAGTTACATTCCTGCATGAGGGTCTCCACTGAAGACTACAAGCCATTTGAGAAATGGCCTCTACCCTACATGCAGAGTTATTAGGGGGAAAAAAAAAATCGAAGCAAATCTCTCTGTCTCTATGTGTGGGTACTATATAAGGAGCTAATTGTTAAAAGGCAATATGGTTAGGGTAATACTAGACAAACACAGAGAGTATTACACAATTACCTAACTCAGCCTGCAGAGGTGCACAACAGCTTTCCAGAGAAGAAAACAAACTGATTCTCCAGTGATAAATATGAGAAGACATAGGTAAAACACACATACACAGGTACGAAACAGTGCCACTTGTGAGAACTACAGGACATTCAATGTTGCCAGGGTGTAAAATATGGAGCCAGAAGTGGCAAAGTATAAAGCTATAGAGAAAAAAGGCTTCACAGTGTGTTGAAAAACATTTTATGCTGTGGGCCAGTGGTTCAAAACTAGTAAAAACTCTGAATTTGTACTGCACCAAAACCAGGTGTAAGTTATACTGGAAGACAAGTTGAATTCAACAGGTAGTATTTTCACATATTAAAAATCAAACAGATTAAAAAGATACACAGTAAAGAGTCTCTTCATACCTTTGGGACCTGCCTGGGTCATATCCTTCTTGGGGAAAACTGTTAGTTTCTTATTTTTCCTTCCAGAGTTCCTTTATACCAACAGAGCAAATAAAACTACACAATCTGTTTCCCTCCTTTACAGAGAAAGTACTCTATATTAAAGTTCTGCATCTTACTCTTTTCTTTTTAACTGCAATGATTTTTCCATGACTTTCCATATAAATACTATTCTTCCTATTCCTTTTCAACTGCATAATATTCCACTATACTACCGCATCATTATTAACCTATCCACTATTTATGGACATTTGAGCCTCTGTTCCACTCTATTACAGTATATTGTTTTGGTTGACATATAAGAAAAAAATCAAACTCTACACATATATGAGCAGAAAAGGGAATAAAAACAATAATAAGGTTTTCTTTCAGATTATTGTAGATAATCTCCAAATCTTTTGCAATTACATACAACATTTGTATGAACAACCCTGTACATATATCATCACAAAATGCGAAAATATACCTGAAGGATACACTCCCTGAAATGGGAATATACATTTGTAATTTTGATATATATTATCAAATTGTCCCTAGGAAGAAGGAACTAGTATAGATGTCCTACCAACAAAGATGACCAGTGACACTGACTGGTTCCTCAGAGGAAGGGAAGGATCCTAGGGAAATCTACCCTTTAAAATTATAATCAAGGAAGAAGAATCCAGAAGCATGAGATAAACAATCAAACAGGTCAAAAGAAAAAACAAGAATTATTTACTTGATACACAGTAAAAATATTTACTGGATGACAAGTAAAAACAGATGATTCTTCTCTAGGGTCAAATATATAGCAGGGAGATCTAATAATTAAATAAAGAACTAAACTATAAAACTTAATTAAAGCAGTATGATAAGTCATGGAAAAATAGAACAAATCAAAATAGTATAAAACACACAGTAATGAAGAATAAAGATAATTAAGAATAAAAGAAAGATAATACTATTTCCCATGACAAGGAATCAGAACTCCCTGGGAAAATGGTTGATTCCATACCTGGGAAACTATATGATAAGCCTGGAATATTTTACTGTGTCAGAAAGTCTTCACAAATTGATGGGAACATGTCAAAATAATACAGACCTAGCTTTTCGGGGGCTTACAGGAGCCAAATCCAGGATAGTTTGAGAATTCAGAATTAATAATGATAGTAAAAGACTATAATCCATTGAGTAAAATAGTACCCATAAGAGAAAATTTTTCTGCAATAAAGTCAATTAAAATGAAAAAGGAACAGTAAATTAGAAAAGCACCATGTTTCACAAATAGCTGACTCAAACAAGAGCCATAATTGAAAGCTGAAACTGGTGGGCCAAAGTTTGAGGAATACCTAGATATTTATACTGTCACAAAGTGTCACACCACAAGATTCTTTTTAATTACAGAGGGAAAAATAATAACCTTACAATGGAGAACAGTCTTGGTAGACACCATTGTAACCAGTGATCAAAGTTAACATCACCAGGATTGGGACAAATCAGTACCATGTGCTTCCACTGCATGACTAGACATCATGAAGTCACATGACTCTTACATAATGATCCAAGAACTTTTTGGAGACGGAGGGCTATGAAGATTATTACTGGCAATATTTGGATGATAATAGCATTGTGTCAATCTTAGTTTCTTGATTTTGATAACTGCACTTTAATTATGTAAGATTGTGTTCTAGTCTTAGAAAATAAAAGGGTCATCATGTCTCAAATGGTTCAGAAAATAAACATGTATTTGAACCTAAGTATCTTTAAAATATTTTAAGTATTTCTAATAAATATATCGATGTGGAATGAGGGACAAAGCACTGGGACAGAGAGGAAATGAGATGGAGGAGGAGA